AATATAAACCTTATTTAATTCCTTATATTAAATAGGGGAACTTGTCGGCCAATACATTGGTTTCGCAGACCAAACGGATGTCATAACTTTCTTTAGTTTATTTGATCGAGCCTCACTCTCAATTCTTGCGTTCATCCTTCGGGATAGATGCATGATTTGAGATGAAGCGCTCTTTCATCTAAACTATGAAAATTATGGGGTCAGTTTGACTTCATCTTTTTCAAAACTAAATTTTTTAAAACGTCCTTCCGAAGCAGGCAACGAGATTTCAATTCCGATGGCCGACAGCTTCTTACGGGCAAACCCCACACCAAAAATAGTGCCGACAATACTTCTAACATTCTTACGACCCAAACGCCTATTCATAGTGAGGATGTTCGTTAATACGTGGCGGAACTTACGACAATTGAAGTGGCTGAAGATGTTCATGAGGAGGAAGATCAACAAAAATCAATCATTGTGTTTGAATATGACCTCCCTGATAAGGATGTTCCAGCACCTTCAGTTGTAGAGTATCCAGTCATAGAGTTTCCTAGCTAAGATCTCATACTAACACACATGGAGCAAGTAATAGATGCATGCTTCAATAAATATAAAGCTAGGTACGTTGATACACTCAATCTTTTTTTGTCTTATGCCTGAGTCTTGTATCGAACTCTAACAAAACCTATTTGTTTCAAATGCATCGATAATATGTTAAATCAAGAGGGTCATAATCATATAAGTCAAAAGTGCATTGAAGCATTTTGAAATAATTATTATTTAGGAACTAAACATGTAGATATATTCACAATTGGAATGGAAAAAAAGAGGTGTCAATCACCCAATTTTGATAGACCCTATCTCTGCGTGTCTCCAACACATTGGGCAAACATCCAATTTCTCATCATTGAATATACACCATTTTAAAACTTATCGAATCATATTACTTGTTTATGCAGATGCACAAACACCATCAATTGAGGGGGATTGCTGTTCATATTACAATTGATACAGTAAATAAAGTATAATTAATTTTAATTACAATAGTTAATAATATGACACAACAAAACACAATTCGAATAGTACAATCACCAGATAAAAGGTACGCCATGTTGCTTAAGGACATCAACAAGAATTTGGAGTTAACTATCATGAAACATTCAGTCCGACGGCTAAGTTTTCAATATTTTACATTCTTATTACAGTTATACTTCATCATCAATGAATCAATCTTCAATTTACAATTTCAATTGTGTTCCTTCATGGTACTCTAAATGAAACAATGTATATAAAGCAACCGTTGAGGTTTCATGACCCGGTTTCGTGACCCTCAGCTTCCAAATCATGTTTGCTTGCTCAAAAAGTCGGTATATGAACTAAAATATGCTCCACGACAATAGTTTACTACATTCTAAGAGTTTTTAATAGCAAATGGATTTTACATAGCAAAGAAGACTCATTTTTTATTCATTTTTCAAGAAGGGGATATTATAATTTTTGTTCTAGCATGCATTGATGGTATCCTTATAAGTGGCAGTAATCCTACAACCATCTCACAACTCACATATCACATGGGGCTTCAATTTCAACTGAAAAATATTGGTTCTATTAGATGTTTTCTGGGTATTGAAGTGCTAAAATAACCACAACATATTTCTTAAGCCAACAAAAGTATGTAAAACAACTCAGCACCATATTTGGAATGAAAAATTGCAAATTTCTTGGTACACCCCAATCAGTTAAATAACTATATCGGTTTCTAAAAGACACTCCATTTTACAATCTTACTTTGTATAGACAATTAACGGGCTTGCTCTAGTACCTTACCGACACAAGACCAGACATTTAATGTGATGTAAACAAGCTACGCCGGTCAATTCACTCCCCAACCATATCCAATTACCAATAATTAACTCACTTGCTGCAATATCTCCAAGGCACAAACCACTTTGGCTTAAAAATCAAAATCAACAATCTCAATCTTCGCACCTTTACCGATGTTGATTGTGTTTGAGATCAATTTGATCAAAAGTCCACCACTAGGATATGTTCATTCCTAGGTGACACTCCCATATCATGGAAGGTTAAGAAATTATCTACGTTTGCAAGATCATATGCGGAGGTTGAGTATTGCGATTTAGCGAATGTCATGACACAGGTGATTGGCTAAAGAGAATATTGGAGGAATTTAACATCAAATCTATACATCCTACCTCAATTCATTGTGATAACATATCCGACATGTCTTTAGCTAACAATCAAATCTTTCATGCCTGAACCCAACATATCGAGATCACGAACCATTAGCTTGCAAGGGGTACCAACGATAACAATAATAAGCCCAATTAAACTTACTTGAGGTCACTGTAATCACACAACTAACTATAAATATTCTAGAATATTAATCTTTTCTATTATTTACCATATATATGTAAAGCATTTGTTGTGTAAATGTATGGGGCAGAAAGCCATCTGCAAAACCCCTATTCCCTTTCTATGTTTTTTGGTTTTTTTCCAGCATTGATATTATAGCTGGTTTATAGAAACATCACGTGAAAGAGACAAAACCTAGCGCGGGAAAGAAACAGAGACTAGCACGAGAAAGAGACGGAGCAAAAAGAACTTGAGATAATCACTGCTCACCGGGCGATAGATGCAAGAGACAAGCAGTGTAACTAAGGGTGGCTAAAATGTAAAAGGTGTGAGTTTAGATGAGTTAATTTGAAATATTTAAAGTTTTGAGTAGCTGGTGGGTAAAAACTTATATTATTATATGATAATTATTGTGATTATAAAATAATAGTTATGACTTTATTTCGGTATTGATTTTAAATTTTTTTTAAATTTTTATTATAAATTGAGGGAATTTGTAAAAAATATTTTGTATAAATTAAAAGTTGTTTGTAAAAAATCATGCATTAAGAGATTAAATTTTTAATTTGATATATTTCTAACGTCAAAATCATATTATTTATAAATTTATAATGCATTTATATTTATATATTTATAATAACAATTTTAAAATTTGAAGTTCAGGATAAAATCATAAACTTCTATTTCTAATGCATAAAATCTCTGGTCAATTACGAGGGCAAAGATGTAATTAGCATATCTTTATCTTAATAAAAAGGTTTTGGAGAATTCTAAACCCTTCCGTCGTGCATACCTTCCCATATTTTATCTTCACCTCCTCTCCTCTCGCCTCTCGCCTCTCGCCTCTCGCTAGGGTTAGGGTTCCTCTGTCCCGGCTTTCGCGCCTTATTCATCCTCTCGATTGTTTCATCAAGCTAGATGCAAGGTGGAGGAATGGTGCCGCAGTCCGTTGCTCTGCATCACATGGAGCCGCAGCACCAGATGGCTCAGCCGTCTCAATATCAAATGCTGCCGCAGCAGGCACCACCGCTCTGGGGAATGGTTCCACCACCTGCGCCTCAACAGCAGTATCCGCCGTCGCAGCAGCTTCCGATGTGGAACCAGCAATTGTCGCAGATCCCTCCGCCGCAGTCCATGCAGCAACCTCAGCAGCAGCAGCAGCATTTTCAAAACCAGTACGGTGCACCCATGGCAATGCCTTCCTCCTTTCCTAGTCATCCAGATTCCTCTGACGAGGTGCGCACGCTCTGGATCGGAGATCTGCAATATTGGATGGAGGAAACGTACATCCATGGTTGCTTCGCTCAATCGGGAGAGGTGGACAATTTCTTTTTGCGCACATCTTCTCGTTTTTTTGTGAATTAACCTAATTGTACATTTTTTTGGGCAAATTATGTTCACTTTATTTTTTTTCTTTGTAAAATGCGTGATAGGCATGTTTTAGGTTTATTATTATTATTAATACTCTCATGTCAATTTTAATTGATAGATGCCTGTTATTACAGGTTATGTCAGTGAAACTCATCAGGAACAGGCAAACCGGCCAGCTGGAAGGCTACGGCTTTATTGAGTTTGCAACAAGAGCTGCAGCGGATCGAGTTCTCCAGACTTACAATGGAACCTTGATGCCTAATTCGGAGCAAGTTTTTAGATTGAATTGGGCATCTGCTGGTGGAAAGCGTGCTGATGATGGTAATGATTATACTATATTTGTTGGAGATCTTTCTGCAGATGTTACTGATTCAATGTTACAAGAGACATTTGGGAGTCATTATCCATCCGTGAAAGGGGCGAAGATTGTTACAGATAGAATCACTGGGCGTTCTAAGGGTTATGGTTTTGTAAGGTTTGGAGATGTGAATGAGCAAACTCGTGCAATGACCGAAATGAATGGAGTGTATTGTTCATCAAGACCCATGAGAATTGGTCCAGCAGCTAGCAAGAAGGCTTCTGATGGACAACAGCAAGATGTCTCTAAAGGTATTGTTTTGATGTGCTTAATTTGTTGTTATTATTATTATTTTTTTAAAATAGTTATTTTTTAGCTTGCTGCTACCTGTTTTCCTCTCCCGGTTGAATTTGCTGCTATGTTATATAATTTTGCAGGAAATCAACACAAATCACCAGTTACTAGCAGAAATAATTGAAAGTCTTTATTTGTAATTTGATGTTTCTATTTATTTCTCGTGCAATCAGCTGAATATTTCTTTTGGGAATGAAAGACTGGAATTCATAGTCTTAGCTTTATTTCCAAGTCTCACTTTTGAAGACTTGTTACACCTCTTCTATTTTTGGCAGAAGTATTTTCGTTTCTACCATTTCCTTTCTGAATACGGGTTATTTAATCTACATTTAAAGAATTAAAACTTATAAAACCTCATGTTGTCTCGAAGCAGGAAGCCAAGAGGCTCTCTTGATAGAGGGCCTGGACTAACCTCAGCTGAGATGACTATCACCCTTAATGCGTGGCCTCGGTTAGGTCAGTTTTATTGATTATGTCATAAATCTACCCAAAGTAATTTTTTATCTAGCGCTCTTTCCTTTTATTTTCTTTTAATTCTTAAGAAAGATTTTTTTCAGCATTCAGCATTCTCTACGGTCTTTAATTGTTCTCCTACTCTTTAGATTAAGAATCATCCAATTTCTTACATTAATTTCTCTGACTTGTCGTAATCTTTATGTTTTTGAGTCTTATAATGTTTCCTTGAATGTTCTATTACATTTCAGATTTCAATGCTTCATCAACTTGTCTTTTTAATATTTTATAAGGGCTGTTTTACTTCTTTATTTTTTTTTATTTCACATGAAGTCATTCCTCTTTTTCTTTTGATTTTCATTTAACGATCAACATTTAAATTCTTCAAAGCATAGCATTTGCATTGTTGGGAATTGTAACTATGTTTTTCCATCTTTCTTCATGCTAAATTTTTTTATTTTCATTGTGTTTCATGTTGCTGCAGCATGAATGGTGTTTTCTTACGGGGATTAAATTTAGGCTGTTTTTGGGGCGGTGGTGTGGTGATTGTGTGGTGCCGCACCGCAACTCTTTCTATTTGGCAAAATTGTGTTTTGCCTGCGTTTTTCAAAATGTTGCCGTTGAAAACTGCATTTTACCACCAAACTTGGCTACTTGTGGTGGCTGCTAAAAAACTGCGGTCTGACTTTTTTTTTTAAAAAAAATACAATAGCCACTGCAACTTTGTATGTGCATTTCATGTACTTGTATGTCGTACATGTCTACATTATTTTGCATGTCATACATGTCTTCATGATTTTGTACGTCGCTATTTCCAGTTCAATTATAAGGAAAAGGACACATGATTAATGATCTAAATTAGGATTAAGGCACAACCGATGATTTCCTTTATATGATTTTGTACGTCGCTATTTCCAGTGCGAATTTTAACTTGCTTCAGCTATGTGTCATTGTCATGCTTGTTCATTTTGCATAGTTATTTAAAAAAAATCATATTCATTCACTCATTTATACCCTTTCTCATCCAAACTACAACTATTGATTATTTCTTTTTGTGTTTCCTTGTGCTATTCAAATGACATCTAATGTTGATCTCCATATGATAAATTCTCATGTTCATTTATTTGTTTATATGTTTGTCTCCATTGTTCATAGCTTCAAACTTTCTTGCTTTTAAAGTATAATGTTGGATTTGCCTTCAACCTCTCATATCTACATTAGATGGAATTTTCATTGTATATTCAGTTTGAAAGTTTCAGAGATCCTTGTGATATACATATGATCTTTTTGAGTATTGATGTGCTCTTATAATAGACATGTTCATAAACCAAAACTTAATTGATGACAAAATTTGACTCTAAAATTTAGATTAGATTATAATCATTATTCTAATCTTCTATAAGAACTTTTCATATGTTTGAATATTAAATTGAAATCATATTAGCTGCAATGGAGGGATAAATTGAGCAATATTTTATTTCTTCTATTAATTAAGCAATCTAACATCACATCCTCTTGATATATTTCCTATTATGATGATAGCTTAAACTCATATTAGCTTTATTTTTAATTCTTTGATTTTTTGACTTGCAAATTCGTATAAATAACCTTATGGAGAGTGTGGAATCGTGTCAACATTTTACCAATATTGTTATTCCAGATTACCATAGAAGGATCTCGACTTATATTGGCCATCTAATGAATTCTACTTGTGCACAGTTAATCAAAATTGATTTTAATTAATATGAGTTATTTTTTGAAAGAGTTTGTCCATTCATTTAGGCAATTTTATTTTTAATATGTAGTCTGCTTTTATTTATTTTTCTTATTTTTTTTATGAAATAGTTATAGGTCTTTTTTAGTATCTCTTAGGACACATAAGAGTAAATGAATAATTTTGTTAATTAGATCTTATTCATCCATTTCATGATTAGTCTTTTTGGAAATAATATTTTTAATTAGATTATTAGATCTTATTTTGAAGTTTTTATTATTTATCTATATGAATCAATTGCAGGATTTGTCCGAGTTGCATGAAATTATACTAAGCAATTGACTTTTTAACTATGTCAGTTCAAAGTTTTTCTAAAGAAGCTTGGAAAATCTAATTGCATTATTCATCACAGTTTATTTTAAACCTTTTGTGTTTGTGTTCTTCAAGGAGTTTGTCCATTCATATTGAGCTATCATGTTTATGTGGTATGCTTTCTTTAAGTATTTTATTATAGCATTATCTGTGGAATAATTGTATGTTTTTATTAGTATTCTATAGTACACATGTTAGTATTTCAACATTTTTATTACTTAAGTCATGTCATATTAGTCATTTACATGATTACCTAATTTCATTGAATTTATTCACACTACGGCAAATATATTATTATTTCAGCATTTTCATTTCCGATCTCATCATATTTGTTATTTGAAATAATAACCTTTTAGTTAAGTCAATTATGAAGTCAATTATAAGTCCTGTGTTAGATGTGATTAAGAGGTATATGATATTTAGTTTTGGTGATTAAATGATTAAATATTTACATCTTCAATGATTTCTTAAATTTTTAATAGATTAAGTACAGGAAAGGTGAGAATCGGCGACGCAATATAAAACTGTTTAATGCCCTAAACTAGTGCTAATAAATTGAACATTTTATGATATTACGGTATTATAAAATTCTTCCATGTATATGATCTTTTCACCTGAACTTGCCACCAATATCTTGGATTCTTCTCTCTGTAATTACATTTTGAATTCATATCTGATAGTCTATTTTATTGTTATTTACATCTTGTTGCAGAAGCAATATTAAATGATGACATTATTCTCATTCTTATTGGTGGATCAAAGTGTCTTTTTTATTATCATGCGATTCTTTATAGGCTATTCTGTAGGAAGTGCAACAATTATGCTCTAATTTTATTTTTAAATATGAGCGCTCAATTTGTTGGAGCAAACCTTTCACAACTAGGCAGGTTTGAATATTGACTTCTTTTTTTAGTTGATTTCATTTTATTGGTTTATTTTATTTTATATTAGTTGTTTTTGGCGTAAATATGATTTATGAAGACAATCCTTATAGAGAATGCATTATGTTCTCCAATTTTTAATTTGGTTGAATTTTCAGTTTGTCTGAATCTGTGAAGCTGTTGGTTTTTTGGGTTACTATGGTAGCTATGCTGTTGTTGGGATTTGAATTCAGTATTCCTCAAATCTTCAACATCGATTCCATGATTTTAGCCTTTGGTTTTTCATCTCTAAGGATTTTTTATGTTTTTTGTTTCCTCTGTGTCTGAGTGCTAGTTTGATGCGGATCTTATTAGTGTGATGCAATTGGCATTTTGTTTATTTTCTGTGGAAGCTCTATAATTCATCTCTTTGTTTTGGAGAGTTTGATTGTTATTTGATGCCTTCTTTTCCTTATTCTGTTTCTATTTTATAAAATTAGTAAGTTGTTTCTTTGGTTGATTAAATATTATCACAGTTTGAGTTTTTAATTGCGACGAGATTTTGATTGTCATTTGGTTTCAATGATTTAAATATATATATATATATATATATATATTTGAGTGATCATTGAATTATCATTTGAAGTGATTTACCACTTTTTGATAGTCATCAAAGAGATGAATTTTTCATTTAAATTAAGACTTTCAACTGATTATTATATATATATATATATTTAAAAGGAAAGGCCGGAGGCTATTATACAAGTCCCGGTTATCCCTCATGTGCCTGGATGAAGCCATATTTTTAAATCTTGTAATTTCTTCTTCTTTGTTCCTTTTGGCATCTTAAAGTTTATGCTCAATTCAGGTCTGGTGCTGGAAGGATACACTTTATTGCGACCTGTTGAAGTTGGATATGACACACGATGGATATGTTGAATGTGCTATATTGTTTTGTGCATGAACACCTACATGTTTACACACAACTTAATGTTTAAAACATTTGTTCATGTTTAGCATATGTATGAATTTTTTACTCGTATGGATATGCAAGGATTTACAAATATATGGTGCTGTTAACTTAAGAACACATCTAGTTGTACAAAATACAGTGATATTGTTGAAGTGACTAAACTAACTGCCATCAGTTTACATGGTTCAGTCGAATTAACAATTATAGAGTCAAGATCCTTTTGAAGTATCTCGGTAGCTTGCTGAGGGGGCAGATTCTTCTCAAGTTGCTTAACTGGGTTTTGTCTGTTTTTTTTTTTTAAGTAAAAGGCTTCGTTGTACCTAATTTTTTCTATGGGAGTTAAAATTTTTTGTCAAAATTGATGCATCTAAAAAGTTTACTTATAGGTATGATTTTCTGTTTCCTTTCTTTCAGTTTTGATTTCTGATGCCCTGATTTCAGTAGAAGTGCAAAATGGTAGCTTCCCATGCCATACATGTAAAATATGTTATGTATCTTGTTTTAGTTATCCATTATCTTTGTACAATTTAGGGTGAATAATTTATTGATTTTTATATCGTCTATTTAATGAATTTTACTCTTGAAATCTGCAGAAGGTCCTTTGAGCATTATTTTTCCAATGTCCATTAGAGGAATCTAAATTTTAATTTATTCCAGTAATTGTGCGGTCCCCGTAAGTGAGAGATCTCACATTGTTACTCCTATTTGACAGGCTTCCAAAATGTCACCCTTTAATGCATCACAGCTCAAAATGATTGTTGTGAGATGTAGGCAAGGGTTCTGATGAGTGTTAATTAATTTTATTGTGATAGTAGTAGGACCTTAGTTGTTTTTTATTCTTATCTTTTGAGCTTTTGTTTTCTCCTTTTTAACCAAAACTTTGTAAGATCTGCTTTATCCACAATCGTTTTCCATATCTTATAAGAAATGGTTCCTAAAGCATTTTTTTATCATCCAAAGAACAACTTCTTCTTTGTTATGTAAAAAATTTAGATTAGTTGTATAATATGGTGCTCCGTAACTTTCAATGAGATGCTGATGGAATTATTGGACTGTGATTATTTGGAGAATAATTATATTATGTTTGTAAGAAGTTAAATGGAAATTGTTAAAAATGTAAAGTTGGAGAGTAATATAATCTATATCATGTGGGGAATGGTACCAAATAGTAATATGATAGGGCTTGTAGATTTGTAGGGCGTATCGAGATGTAAAATAAACTGTTTTGAGGGGAATTGGGTTTTTAGCGGGCTTGAAGTGTTATATGTTGGGCAGATATTCTATAAGTGATTAGTGCCTGGTCATGTTGGATTTGAAGATGGCTTGAATATAATATTTAGAAGAGATGAATGAATTATTATAGCACCTGCATTAGGAGAAGATGATATGTAGTGGTGATAACCATAAGGAACTTGTAGCTCAACAGTCAAAATTGATGAGCATGAGAGGATTATTGTTGAGTTTTGAATAAAAGATAGAATGTGATAAAAGGATCCGTATCTTATTTCACAGGATCATGTATTCTTGTAGAAACGAGCAGACACTAAAAACGAGTGGTGCATTTAGTTGCTTTTAAAAGTGAAATTACAAATTTACTAATAAACTTAGAAGAAAAGAAATATTTTTTTTAAGAAGGTATAAGTTGACCTTGAGAGAAAGCCGAACCACATTTATAATAGTTAGGCAGTTATATCGTAGAGATAAAATAAAAATTGGATGAAATTTAATTGTTAATCTTTAAGAGAGTTATTTAGAGAGGAAAATAAAATCATATTCAACTTGTTGTAATATGTGATAGCTAGCATACCAATACGCTTCAATTGAAGTTTAAGGTGTCTTCAAATAAATTGATCATACAAAGCTTGGTAGTAGAAGTAGTAGATATATAATCTTGTAAGGAAAAATTGTTCTATTAAGGGTAACAATAGTGGATACTATTTGGGTGTATAGTGATTATATGGAGGCTTCTAGTTTTGATGATTTATGGTTTAATTTAAGTGTATAAAAATGAGAAATGAGATGTATCAAGTTTGCTAAAGCAAGATATATGTGATATAAATGCTTTCATGAAGTTAGATGTATTAGAAGTGAAGATATTAAGATGCAATCAATGTTGATGACATGAAGGAGCAATGGAAATACTATTCTGATGTTTATTAAGTGTCTTGTAAGTTAGATTTCTTCAATAAATAAAACAATGAATGTGATTATGAAGTGTATTGTGATGGTTCATAACAAAAATTAAAGTCAATTTAGGTTTGAAGAAGATGCATAGGATAACTTAAAACTAAGAGAATGCTAAATGGTTAGACAACTATTTTGGTGATTGAAGAATATATGATATGTTTGAGATTTGTGTTTATTTTTAGGAAATGATATTAGTGAGTCATATAATGATGTTATGGGAAATTGTAATGGAATATAGTCTTAGGAAAATCATGTTTGCAATCAATTTGGATTAATGGCAGAAAGAACTGTTTTTTTTTTTCTTGCTACAGTGGTTTGCAAAAAATTATGGAGACAAAATAAATGGTATTTGGTATTTTTTGTTGATTTTTTAAATGCTTTTGATTGAGTGCCTTGACAATTGATTTATTTGATATTTTTTGTTGATTTTTTAAATGTTTTTGATTGAGTGCCTTGACAATTGATTTGTTGCTTATTAAGACTGAGGAAAATTATATTTAAGTTTATTAAGAAATGTATGTTGGAGCATTGGTTGACTCTAGTAAAACTAGTTGTTGAGTGAACAAATAGTACTAAATCTCAGGAGTATAATCATAAGTCCATGTTTTTTTGGTTATCGAGGCCCTTACAATCGAATATCCAAGGTGATGTACATAGTGTCAATACAACAACAACAACAACAAAGCCTTACATTTTTCTCCTTTGCGTCCTATTTAGTGTCATATTTTCATTTAGTTCTGGTAAATTAAGATCATTTTTAATACAATAAGCCTAAGTCTTTCTTGGTTTACCTCTGCTTTTCTTAACACAAATCGAATCTAAAACATCTACTCTCCTAACCGGATCATCAGATGGTCGACGTTTAATGTGACCAAACCATCTAAGATGAATTTCTCTAATTTTGTTCGTCACAGGTCACGAATATATTCATTCCGCATTTTGTCTCTAAGTGTAAAGCCACTCATCCACCTAATCATTCTCATCTCGGCAACACTTAACTTATTATTATGCTTCTCTTTTAAAGGCCAACATTCAGCGCCATAGAGCATTGCAGGTCTCACCACCGTCTTATAAAATTTTCCTTTCAGTCCAAGCAGTACTTCTCTATCACACAAAAGGCCCGAAACATTCCTCAACTTCAATCAACCAACTTGAATTCTACTAATAACATCCCAATCTATATCATATATTCGCTTTGGACAACGGACCCAAGATATCTAAATCGTTCACACCTTTTAATAATTTGATCACCCAAAGTCACACTTCTGTCACTAGAGCTATTACTACTAAAATTACATTCCATGTATTCAGTTTTAGTTCTACTTAAATGAAGGCCTTCAAACCTAATGCAAGCGAAAAACTTAATTATCAAACTGTCAACAAAAATGTGTTGAATGCTATATCAATTCAGCAAATATATATTTGGCTTAGTATTAATAGAGTATATTTGATTTAATTTATTGGATTTGAAATTGTTAAATATACTTCAACTTTCTTAGAAGATCAAGTGATTTACAGATTTGATTGGGAGATGTAATTTTACTAATGCACTTGGAATTTTAGGTCTTTTAAATTTACTTTGGATAAATTATGGATTTGTGAATTTAATAAAGAAAAAAAAAGTTTGGATGCCAATTTTTTTTAATAGAGTTAAATTCTAGGGTTGCAAGTAAGAGGATTTGTTCATTTAATGGATTTAAATTAGATATATAAAGACCGGCCCTTGTAAATTTAATTTTGATAAATTATGGATTTGTGAATTTCAAAATAGTATGGATGTCAATTTTTTAAGTGAGTTAAATTCTCGGGTTGCAAGCAAGAGGATCAGTTGATTTAATAGATTTATATTGGATTTACAATGACCAGGTTTAAGAATTCTTACTACACTTGATAGGAATGGACGAAAATGTGGATTCACGAGGTCCACTTGAAATATTTGAGATAAAATCAATAATGATGATGCAATCTAAGGATATACCTTCAATGGGTTGTTTCTGATGCAAGTATGATTTTGTATGTTTGTAAATTTACACGATATATCATGTGTAAATTATAAAAATATGTTGGGATGCTAATATGTTAATCGGACTTAAATTCTGAAATTTTGTTGTTGCAACTAAGTGGATAATATTAGTTAACAAAATTTACGAACTCTATATTTATGACTTTTGACAACACCCAAATGAAATTGTTAATTCATAAGGACAACTTCAAATATTTGGGATATATCTAATGATGATGATGTTCTTAGATTCATTTTGTTGCCTTGTCTTTATGAAAGTGGTCAGTGATCTCATCATCAATTCTTGCTTAATTAGTGTTATCACTATAGCCATATTTGGTGTGAGCAAACCTGGCCCTCATTATTATAGATAGAGGTTAATTACTCTTCATGAGATTATTGATAGTTAGATACTGTTACTACCAAAGATTTTTAAAAATATATTTTTACTGCGGCTTCCTTTGTCTTACTTTTTCTGTCTTTCTAAATAAAATAATTTTGTGATTTTTTTTTTGTCAATGTTTTGACTTGGGAAATATTTTCCGCCAACATATTTGATAGGAGGATTAATTTTAATAAACACGGCAGACTACTACTGCTTTCAAAATGTTTTTGCTACTCTTGATTGTCCTCAATACGTTTTGGTGGATTTTATCTTCTTTATGGATAAAAGATTAGTGACGACTCTATATTAAATAAGTTGTATGATATGTTCATGTTATTTTGGTTTAGAAATCATTAATAATCCTTAAATTTGCAGCTTCCTTCCAAAATGTACAAGCATCAGAAAGTGACCCAAACAATACTACCGTGCGTACTCAATTCTTTACGTATTTACCCTTTCAAAGAAGATGGTTTTCAATGTATGCTAACAAGTTTTTCATGAGTTCAGATATTTGTGGGTGGCTTGGATCCAAATGTTTCAGAAGACATGCTGAGACAGGTTTTTAGCCCATATGGTGAACTGGATCATGTAAAGATACCTATTGGAAAACGTTGCGGCTTTGTCCAGTTTATTAGCAGGTCACTATTTCAAATTCCCAGCAATTATATTTTGGCGCATTTAAGTACATACCACCCAATTCCTATGTATTTACATATCTCCTCGTTAAAAATTGGGTAATATGAGGCGCGCCTCAACACTTTTTACAAAAAAAATTACAATGAGGTATGCCTCACCTGGACCGAGTCATGTTTCAAGGCACGAGCCGCCTCAAAAAACATCTCAATTTTTTTAGGCTATTCATAATTTTATTAAACAATTCTAAAAGTATTATCAATATTCCTCATTTATTAACATTCAAACATCATAAACTAAATAACAAGAAATAAGAGGAAAAATGTATCCATAAAATTTTATGAAATAGAAATTTCAATTATGAACATATAAATTTATTTTAATTAATTTATTTATTGATGATTATTCGTTAATAAATAGAAAATAAGTAGGATTAAGGGTAATAAGGAATGTGATAATATAGATACGACGAAAGATAAGATGCAAGATAAACAATTCTTTATGTTGATGATTCTGATGAAAATAAGTTAGACGATGAGGGTAAAGGGGACTTTTAAAATTTAAAATTTAAATGTTGATAATTTGTTATATTCTTTTTTAAGTGGGGAGTAGTACGAGTGTGAGGGAAATATTAATGTTGAACTTATTTTGATTTTTATGCTTTGATATTTTAGTATTTTTTTTAATATCTCATCTTATTGTGGTAGTTTAATATTTGTATAACTCGTCTTATTTCATAATTTGATATTAGTATACTAACGTGTTATTTCTTCTTTTACTTAATTAATTACTTCTTAGTTAAAATGTTGTTAAATTACTTTTGAGTGTGTTAATAATGTAGAATATTAATATTTTCTTTTTTACTAACTTTATAGTTTATAATAAAATATTAATTAATTTACACAATTCTTCAAATTTGAGACATACGCCTTAAAATGCCTTTAGGCTTACGTTTCGTCTCACCAATAAAAAAAGCCTCAATATCAATTGCGCAATATTAAACATTGCTGTCATATCTAGCACCTAAACTTTATTTTTTACATTTACACCACCTAAATATTTCGTATCACATAAAAATACCACCATTTTAAATTTTAAAAAGGGAAATACATTTAGGTAAGATGGTGGATACATAAAAATACATATGAATTGAGTGACATGCATATAAATATTTTTTATATCTCTTCATAATTAGGTGACTTTTCTTTCTTTTTTTCTTTTGCGAATGCTATCCAGGGCTTGTGCAGAGGAAGCTTTACTGATGCTACAAGGAACCCAGCTGGGAGGGTTAAAGATCAGGCTTTCTTGGGGCCGTAATGCTGCAAACAAGCAGGTATAAATTGTTATTCAGCTTATCTTCTTTCAAAAAAGTTGTTTAAAAGCTGTTTTATAAAAAAGCAGCTTTTAAAGCCAACTAAAAATGACGATCCAAAATAACTACAAAACAGTGTTCTATAAGAAGCATTTTTAAGAAAGTATTACAGCCAACGGACTTATAATTAAAAAAAACTGCTTTCACTAAAACTGAAAGCATTTTAAAAGCTTTTCCAAGTAACTTCTGCTGTTTAATGATGGAGCTAAAATCTCATACTGTTATACTCTTTACAGTCTCAGCAGCAGGACGGTAATCAGTGGAATGGTGGCTACTATGGCTTTGGTCAAGGCTATGAAGCATATGGATATGGTCAAGCTCCTCAAGATCCCAACATGTATGCTTATGGAGCCTATCCTGGATATGGAAACTTTCAGCAACAACAGGTACAACTAATTTATATTTTGTCAATTGGGAAAAAAACCATACATACCACCCAGTTCCTATGTATTTACTTATCTAACACCTAATCCCAACTTTCTACATTTATACCACATAATTCCTATGTATTTACTTATCTAACAGCTAAGCGGAAGTTTTTACATTTATTCCACTCAAATCTTTCATATCACACTGACATTACCACTTTTAAAAGTGATGTACACCTTTTCATGAATAGGTAAGTTGACATATATGTAACAATTGAACTTCATGTGTTTGAAATGTAAATGCATAGAAATTGAGTGTTATGTATGTAAATCTTCCAAAAATTGATCAATTTAGTAATGTATGTCAAGTCCTAATTTAGTACCATACCAAGATTTCCTAATCTTTGATTTACATACATTCCACACAACTTATGTATTTACATATCTAACACCTAAGAATACATATCTGCGCGCGCGCGTGTGTTATTTTTAACATCATATCAAAAATACTTTGTGTTAAATGTCGGTCATTTGAGGATCCGGTTAGGAGAGTAGATATTTAAGATTTGACTTATGTTAAGAAAGATATATGTTGACCTAAAAGGACTTGGGCATATTTATAAAAAATGATCTTAATCTATTAGAATTGAATGACAATGTGACACTCAATAGGATGCAATGGAGAAAAAGGATTGATTTAGCCAACCCCACTTACTGGGATTTGGCTTGTTGTTTTTGTTGTTGTAGTATAAAAAATACTACTAATGCTAACTTTATAAAATGAAATAAATATTCTCATGCATAAGCTTCAATGTGATTCTGAAAATGAAGTGTCATATAAGCATTTACATACATACCACTCAGTTCCTATTTATTTACATATCTAACACCCAAATTTTAATTTCTACATTTATGCCATCAGAATCTTTCATAGCACAGCAAAAATGCCACCATTTTAAAAAGTGAAATAAACTTTTTCGTGCATAGGTAAGGTGATATGCGTATAAAAATTGATGCTTAGATGTTAAATATGTGAATACATAAGCTGTGTGGTTTGTATGTAAAATTCTGCAAGATGTTAAATATGTGAATACATACATTGTGTGGTATGTATGTAAAATTCTGCAGTTAAATTCACATAGATGTTAAATATGTGAATACATAAGCATTGTGTGGTATGTATGTAAAATTCTGCAGTTAACCAATGTATATTCGTCTTTGCAGTAAACGTCACTGGACTGCAGCGCTCGATTTGCAGATTTACCTTTTGGGAAGCATTTGAGTCTATGGACTTGAAAATAGTGGACATTGTATTGTTGCCGTTGTTGGATAGCTTAATGTTTGATGTGATAAATTGTGTTTTGCTGCATCAAATGCTCTTTTGTTTTTCTCTAGCATGCGTTGGTGGGAAGAGATTCGTCCATAACTTATGTTGCTTTGTGTTGTTTGTATAATGGGTTTAGGGATTGAAGGAATTGGATCATTATTGGGTCTGGGTTGATTTTTTTTGCTTTGCTTTATGCAGTTTTTTTTTTTTTAATCTCATTTTATATAAATTTGATGGAAGATTTACATACATACCACTCATTTACTATGTATACGCACATATATCACCAAGGCTTTGATTTTTACATACATACATACACAAATACCTACCTAACATATAAATTGAGTGGTAGGTATGTAAATGAACTGAATCTGATCTTTGCTTTAGGGAATTTATTTATTATGATTTTTGTTGGGGTCTATTTCCTGATGTTACTTTATATTTGACAATCATTTTTCCCGTTGACTGATAAATAGCTAATTGCAGATTTACACTTTTTAAGTGTCTAGATCTCTTGTTTAAATTTAAAATGACTTATTTTATTGGCTGCATTCTTTTTGGAGAGATGTTATACTGCTTTGTCATATCCAAAATTTTATAGTTTGTAGGGTATGGGCTGGGTTGGATGAAGCTAAATGGCCCATGCAAATATTCTGGTGTAGGATGTCGTATGCTGATGCAGTTATTTGTAGGCTAGTGATATATTTTTATATTTTTGGAAGATTTACGTGCATCATTAATTTCTATATATTTACATGCCTTAACGCCTGAATTGAAATTTTAACACGTCTTTTATGCATAAAAAGGTGTATTTCATATTGTCAAGGTTTAAATATTGGTGATTTTGATATGCTGTGAATGATATGAGGGAGGTTGCATGTAAAATGTTTAGGTATTATGTGTAAATACATCTAGTTGGGTCGTATGAAGGAAAATTACCCTTTGTTTTAGGCAGCATTTACAAAATGTTAAACAATTCTTGTGATATTTGCATTTCTAACGCTCAAAATTTAATATAATTTTTATACCAGTTTTTAAAAGTGAAATATACATTTGCCAAACATGAATTTGTGCACAAGTTTATTAATTACATAGAAGTAATTTATATAAAAATAATAATTTAGATATTAGATATGTATGTCTAAATTTAGATGTTAAATATAAAGATAGAAAAGATGGGAAAGATCACTCACTCAAGTTTTAATTTTAAAATTTCATTAAAACTTTCATGGGTAATATATATCAAATTAAAATATACACAATTAATTAATAAAGTATTATTATTATTATATTAATTTAAATTAATTCAAAATGTTTAATTGGAATCACATCCGTTCGAACGAACGCTTGAATCGGTAAGGTTCAAGATGCTTTATGTGCTTGTTAGGGAGTAGGAAGCAGCAAGCCTGGTTGCAAGTATTTAGTGATTAGAATATTGCATTAGAATTTGATTTGGCAGCCGTATTATACGAGCCCACTCTAACTTATGCGGTATTGTGTGATGGAATTGAATTGAATGTGAGAAAATAGAAACTTAAAATTTTTTTAAAAGCAGTCGGACCTCTTTTTGTTTGTTTGAGGAAGAATTAAGAGGAGAAGGGGGTAAATGTAGGTTATAACTGTAATATAATAATTTTCTTTTATTATTTGTTTTTAAACATCATTAGTACAAAATACTAAAAGCTTCTGACATTAGATTATATGTTGTTTTTTAGTTAAAACAGCATAGCTGATTGAAAAAATGTCTTCGCTAACTGAGGTAAATTTAATCAACTAAAAAATGCATTGCAACCAAGTATAAATAAACACTCAAACCTCTTTTTCCGCTGACAAATTTTTGGTCATTTTAAACTGGGTATCGTTATGTAGAAAGTGCACATAAATTTCCATAGTTTTCATTGGCGGAGTGGAAATTTTCTCAAAGAGGATACGAATTAATATTTTTAAAATAGCCTCAATTTTTTAATCCAAAATTTGGACTGGTTGACGATTTCGGTTTTTAAAATTTTAATGTAAAATTCATACAAGAATGCTGAGTAGCCGACAAAAATATGTTAAAATTAATATTATTTGAAAAAATTGTTTAATCATTTTACTATCAATATTACAACAATTTTATTAAATACTACAACATAAAAATTATATAACATTTTTTTACATTTAGACTAACGAAGTTATTTTAAAGTCATATTATACCTAGACTTACCCCGTCTCATACTATACCCAGACTTATACCATACTTAAATGCTAGATTAATGCACTTTTTCGTTAGATAACGTGCTAGGATATGATTTAGGTAGTCTTTTTGATGCTTGACTATTGTTCTTTGCTTGATTGGTTGCCCTAATCATTTATTTTTCTTTTGCATTGTGTCTGTGGTGTGACTGCTTGCTCCATATGTATGGTAGTGCTAGGATAAGCGCACTTAGATACTAGGTTAATGTACTTCTTCGTTAGATGATGTGCCAGGATAGAATTTATGTTGTTATGTAGTCTTTTTTATGCTTGATTATTGTTCTTTGTTGGATGGGTTGCCCTAGTCATGTATCCTTCTTTTGCATTGTGTCTGTGGTACGACTGCTTGCTCATATGTATGGTAGTGTGTTAGAGTGTTTTTCTGCAGGGAGCCATGCTTATTTATATGCACACACACACACACATGTACCGCTATAGGGGGAGCTCTCCCCACTTATAAGACACGACACATTATACGTTACATGCATGTGAGCTTTCAAGCTAATATTTATTTTCATGCAGGATTTGAGTCTTTTCTTTTCTCTTGTACTTTTTAGAGTCTAGAAGTCCTGTAGCAGAAATAAAACAGACACGGGTTTCGCGGTGATTGGCGTGGGAACCACATGGAGGGAGTCATGAGCTGATGCTCGTGCCCCATATCTAACTTTCTATATTGATGTATAGAATTATGACGAGCATGCATATGTCGAGTTCGACTGTCTTTTTATTTTCTAGAATATGTTGCCGACCTGGTGACACCGGATTTTTATTATATTTTTTGACTTGTTTTACTTTTTATTACATGCCTGTATGCCTACATGCCTGCATATTTTTTTTGTCTTTATATGATATAGGATTTTATGATGCAACACAGGCTCATTAGGATTTAAATTCCTAAATTTTCTAAAAAATCCTAAATAAAACATTCAAGATAATTAAAATTTAAGATTAAAATATTCAAAATTTTAAAACTGCACTTTTATTTCTTGCATATATTAATAGGACATCCATAATACTTAAGAATTACTCTAGATAACTACATTCATATTTGCATTCCCCGAGGAGAAGTCCCCGTGCTTCTCCAACATGATTGACCTAGCATACCTTTTTTATATAGGTGATTGTCTAAGTTGTTAGACGTCTCCCGACCCAGACGTGATATAAGTCATTTTGTTTGGAGCATTTCCAACTTTGAAGTTAAACCTCCATTTCTCTTCTTTTCCCGAGGCATCATTGCCACTTTGGCAGGCATAAGTCCCACATCTTGGAGCTCAAGATTTTAGTCATATGATAGAGTTTCCTTTCTTTGACCATAGGCCTATCGAGGTTTTCGTGGACAACACAATTTATAAATTGCTAACCGGAGATCTCAGAACGTGTTAAGTCGACTACCTTCACGATCGGGTAGACTTAGGGTACTAGTAGCTGTGGATGATGGGTCTGTGGTACCCGACCCAGTTACCTCTACCTTCTAGGATAACTCTACAATCCTTTTGTTGAGCCCCTTTGAGCCATGTCGCTCATTGGTTTCATCAATGCAACTTGATGGCTCGATGCCGATGAACTGCCGCCCATTTGAGATACGACGATTTGTCCTCTGCCCTTACGACCGAGACGTGCTTTGACGTGTGATACCCTCGTCGAGATGATTTATGGTTATTCCATGGGCTCCATATGCCGATGAGCCACTAACCATTTGGGATGTGAGATTCACTCTCTTCTAGATGACTTAGCGTGAGCTTTGAAGCATCTAGACTTTTCCCACACAGAATAACATTCTTTTGAGTACCTATTACCTCAGGTTCATGATAATATAAGTGAAATTTCTTTTATTGAGAGATTTTTGGGTACCCTCAAGACGTAATTAACCAAGTGAGAAACGTTCCCTTGGAAGTGCTTTCGAACAGACACTTATGCTTGAACACTAGTTATGGGTAGTCTATGTAGGCATTCTTTTGCGAATATCGGTTCAAGATGCCCCCGCCTGATCTTGTTTAGGCAGACATATTTGGCCTATCCTTGCGAGGTTTACCGCACGTAGGCTCTTCACGTTTTGCGTTTTCTCTTGTCTGTTGTCATTGTTGTATGCCTGTTTTTTCTGATTCATCCCTTCTCCTGGTCATTTACATGACCTGAAAGAGAAACTTATTCGAGAAAGGGAAGTATACGACGATCGACAAACTGACGACTTCTTCAAAATAAAATAAAGAAAAACAAACAAAACAAGTGCCCACTTGGTAGTTGCTTATGAAGGCTATGAAAATGATTGCCTCATTGTAGGGTGAGTACGAATGTAAGAGTTAACGGAACATACCTCCCTCGACCGACGTCTCTTCAAGCTAGATGGTTGGGATAACCCTCCACCTTAACCAAAGATAGTCGAGATGATCCCACCCAAGTGGACTTCATTTGCTCGAACGGGTCCATCTACCAACCTCCCTACTGGGCCCTTCTCGTGTCACTGTGTGCTCCAACGTCGACAAACTCATTCAATTTTCCGGCCCAGATGAGCTCTACCAATTTTTGAAAGACGAAATACCTCCATGTCATCACACCAATTGTCCAGATCGTAGGCGTAATATTTGTTCGGATTGCATAGTGATGGTGCAGTTTTTAGCGAATGGGCTTTCTTGAAGTAAACCTTATTTTGAATGACTTAGGCTAATTCAATCATCAACATATTCAGAGGTGTTGAACCTTGCATCTCCTGATATACGTGCGATCGCTCAAAATATCGAGGCTATCGTAGATCAGAGGGGTGTTTCTGCTGACATTGGTTGCCTCGATTATTTCTCTGGTTGTCTCAAGACCTTGGGTCGCCGTTCGCACAATCACTCTTTGGCCTTCTGTTGTCATCCTGGTCCTGTTTCTGCGGTCGGTTGTTAGACACTCTTGTTTTAATTTCCGTAGACTCCACAAGGTCTTCCTTAGCAGCTATGTGATCATTTGCTAGTTCCAAAACCTCCGCAAAAGTTCTTGGCTTGAGTAGGTTCAGATCGTACTTGAATAGCTTGCTGTGGATCCACTGTTTCAGGGTAGTTCGGGTAATGAGAGGCTCCAAGTTCTTTACCTCCAACATCACCATTTGGAAATGAGTGACCCACAGACTTTCATTTTCCCCTTGCCTGATTTGAAGCAGGGGTATCTGTATCCTTCCTTGGTTTAAGTACGTAAGCAAACTCTGTCTGGAAAAGCTTCCAGAATTTAAGAAATAACGGGATAATACAATGTGCAGGTTATTAAACCATTGGAGTGCGACTTTTTTCCGCGTGGTCATGAACAACCGACACTTTATGGTGTCATCGATCTGTAGGGATCCGACCATTAACTCAAAAGAGGCGAGGTGATCGACCGTGTCACTATTTCCTTTGCAGAAGTCGAGGTGAGAAATCATGAGCTTCATCGGGGGTATTGTTACCAGGATCCTTCGTGAAAAGGAGCTTTCTATAACCGACCGAGTGAACAATCCCACTGATGTGGGACTATTGGCGTAGTTGCCGTGGTGTCTGCCAGTTGGGAATCTTCTTGTATTAGATTAGTCGGTCGCCAGGCCAACCGTGGAGCAAGTTCCCCCAGAATCTCCCTCCATGGGCGACGGTCAGGCGTTTTGCAAGATTATGATTGCTCGAAAAGTCTTGAACTAGTCCATTATTTGTCTCAGCGCACCGTCTCTCTATTGAACTTCATTGGCGCTATTTCTCTCCGTAAGGATTTTCCTTCGTAGTGGGCTCTACTTCTCGTTGAGGCATGTTTAAGCTCTCTTATATGGAGTTCGGGCGGTCGGGATTGTAGGCATGGTTCGTCGATTAAGTCGTTTATCATTTTGTGTAAGTTGACTCCAACCGGGCGATTGGTCGTTGAATGAACGGTTTAGACTGTGCCCCTTTTGATCAAACGCCTTAATTACCCAACCATTATCATGGGCTGCTCGATTGCTTTGAGATTCGTGTCGACAATTATGGTGTATATGGATGATTTGCATAATTTTCATGTATTTACATATCTAACACCTAAGCTTTTAATTTTTGCACATATACCATCAATAACAATGTATAAATCGGTAACTATGTATAAAAGGTGATTCATTTTAAGAATTTAAATGATAACATTTTTGATGTGATATGAAAGAGTTGGCTTGTATGAATTTTTTATGAAGTTAATTATTATGGGTATATTCCACTTTTTAAAGGCTAAAATGATGGTATTTTGAATGTGATATGAAAGTTAGGGTGTTAGATATAGAAATACATAAAAAAATGGGTGAAATGCAAGTAAATGCCCCTTAAATGATATTCTAAATACATGATATAATAAACCCATTCTAGGCACTCATACAATAATGCAACAAAATTAAAAAGGAGGTAAAAAAGTTATTCGATATCACAGTGATTTATGAAAGAATTGTATATGAACTTCTTAAGTGGGCACCTTAGCGATGAGTTTCATTGTTGCAATTCAGCAATTTTACTGCATATGGATAGATTTTATCATACATTCTTGAACTAAGAAAATTGTATTTTTCTGCAGCTAGGGTAGATCTTCATAGCCACCGCCTGTATATAAACACAGACAACTTTATATGAAAAATATTTAGCTGATTGTTGACTGAATTATTTCATACTTGTAATTCAATCCAAAATACTCTTACCTCCCCTCATTCAAGAAAAAATCCAATAATTCCCCAATCAATCATAACCAGTGTCATCTCTTTTTACAATTTTACATGATAGATGGTAGATCTAAGCTTAGCGTGTGAGTCATACAATGAACCTTGGGGGCCATAGTTTCAGCACAGAGTTCCATGATAGCAGCTCTCTAGAGGGTATCAAATTGGGTTTGCGGGACAAGTTTGGAGTTGACCAGATCCAAAACTACTTAACCCAAACTCGGACCCTAATATTGAATGAGTCAAAACTAGGGGTGACTGTGAGATAAAGCTGACTTGGAGCCAGCTCAGGCATGTTTCGAAATGTGGCTTGTGAGAGGCTCAATGAGTTAGCAAGACAAACACAAGCCAACCCAACTTAACTCATTGGCTTGTGAGCTAGCTCATTTAAACAAATATTAATAGAAAACATACTCAAAATATATTAAAGTTCAAAACTTTATCTTTAAATAACTAAAAATATTTTAAAAATAATATTTTTTATTTTATATCATGTGATTTTTTATTATTTATCTCCTAATTGCTCGTTCTATTTGTTATTTTATTATAACACAGGTTCAATTAATATTGTTTATCTCTTTTATAATAAACAATCTGGTTCCTGAGCCGGCTCAAACATATGGACTTAGGGATCTACCTATCAACGGATTTAGCCCCGGATTTAAGCTATAAATCGTGTAAATCTTGCCAGACGGTCATTTCAGACAAAATAAAACTATGGATCACGGATTTCAGCCATAAATCATAGAATTACTAAACCTTGTGAACCGGCAGATTTAAATTGGCGGTGTAAATTTTCGGGATTTAGCAAATCAGTTGCCACAGTTTTTAGGATCTAACCCATTTAGGATTTAGTAAATCCGGATTTGCGGGATTTATTGAATCCTAATAACTTAAATCTCATCCGTTCCCAAATAACACCTTAAGCAAAAGCTCAAATTCGATTAATTAATCAAGCCTAAGCTTAAGCTGAGTGTGACTCAAGCATGACTAGGCATGTTTACACCCGTGGTTAAGATGTCCAAACCAAACATGACCCACTTTCAACCCACTAATCCAAACCCAACCTATATAACCTATTTAACAAGAGAAATAATAGCAATTCAAGTCAAATTCAGGTCAGGTTTCAAGTCAATCTTGGGTCAATTTTGGGTGGGAAGGGTTGATTTTGAGTGCATTTTGTGTTAATCAAAAACCGACTCGAAAAATTAAATGGATTAGATTTCCTAACACAAATTCCTTCTCTGTTCAACTACCCATCTCATAGACCAGAGGCATTACATATAACAAATGCCTAGTGATGCAACCCACAATGGCGACCTAGTGGTTTGAGCTCTTTGAATAAAGCCATAAGAGCTTAAGGTTTTAGGTCTAATATATATGAGTGTATGCAAGTATGATTATGCGATTACATTCTCCCAAAATCTTTAATTTTTTTTTTTAAAGTCATCCTTGATCTAAATATGAACTTGAGGTAAGTTTTTCCTGCAAATATATGCTTCAGGGCAGGTAACCATCCTGTTCTTCATTCTAAAGGTAAAATTAACCCAATACATCATCCAAGAAGAGAAACAAAGAGATAAAATAGCAAGAAAATGCACTTCAGTACACCGTCCAAATACTGTTATTGAAGCTCTCCTAATTGTTTAACAAGTCACACCAGCGTTCAACATTAGCCTATATACAGACCGAGTCAAATTGAATAAGATCTATAGAATATATCCTCCGCTCCAAAGAAAAAATATCATCACTTATACACAGGAAAAGGTTAAAGCTTTTACAGGAAAAAGCATATGAATCAAAGTATATAGCATTAATTATCTCATTAGAGTTGAGTACTTGCCTCAAAATGCAGGTCTTTATTGGCAGAAAGAACATGTATGAACTAAGCCCGCAGAAGTAATTTGAAGCAGTGATGATGATCAGCGTTGTTGCGGATCCTGAACTGGAGCAGCAGCAAATCTAGCGTTTGCTGGCTGGGCTACGATGACATTATCGTCTGCAAACAGAGATTTGATGAAGGCAGGAGTCTTCAGGGGTCGTCTGCCTGTCATTCGTGGATACACATCTTCCAGGTAATAATAAGCATGACCTGCTACCATACCCTATAAAACAAAAAATAAAGATAAAAAAACTTCTAAAAATCCGTTCACAAAATTCAGTATTAAAGAGAGACATTAAATGAAATGGTTATAGAGGATTATCCAATCATGCTAAAGGGAGAAAAGAACGGCTACTTTTGTAAACTTTCCATGGAACTGGAAGCGAGCTAACAATTATTTTGGCAGAGCATATTACAGCCAAAGAATGCAAAACACTGCTTCATCATGGAGGCATTGTCACGCCAACTCAACTAAATCATTAAACTTTGCTGTTTTCAACTAATAAATTAGGAAGATCTACATACATACCACTCAATTCCAAAGTATTTACATATATTTCACCTTACCTACAGATGAACAGATGTACTCCACACTCTTTAGAAGTTAGAATAGTGGTATTTTTATGTGAGATGAAATATTTGGGTGACATAAATGAAAAAAAAAAAAAAAAAAATTTAGTCGTTAGATATGTAAATACATAGGTTTTGGGTGGTAATTATGTAAATGCCCCGGATTACGCAAATGTCTATCTAGACCCATAAGCTCACAATAATTAAGTTTTTATCATTCTCTTTAAAGATTTTCTGTCAACAAAAGAAATTAAGCAGAATATTTCTCTCTCTTTTCAAATCAACATGTTAATTTAACATACCAAAAGATCAACCCATGTGCTGGTGCCCACAAGAATGGAGAAACCAAGGAGGACCTGCCATAAAAGAAAAGAATCAGTTCAATTCACCCATATTTTTTATGAAAAGAAAAACATACATACATAACTAATAAATCTTTGCAGCTTCACAATAATGAAAACTCGAAGTAAGAAATCAAATTTCTATGTTGATGCCCACCCAAAAAAGTACGAATTTTTTGTATTTGAAACTTAAAGGTAGAAACATTGGCGCCACATTGATACTGCTAATACCCTCTCTTTCCTCTCATCCAAGCCCTTACTATCAACTATAAGAAATAAAAACCTAAACTTTTACGTGAAAACACCAAATAAAAGCAAATTTGATGAACACAAAGTAAGAGGAGAGAATCATCAACTAAAAGTCAGCCTTCTTCAAATCGGACCACACTGTCACGGACAAATAGTCCCACATCGGCTAGGTGTAGGGCCGAAAAACAGTATTTAAGTCCTGGGCTGCCCACCTCTCTCAAGGGCTCTTTTGGGAGGTGACAAGTGGTATCAGAGCAGATTACTGCCTGTCACGTGTGTGGACTCTCCATGGTCCAGTGGGACCCTCGGTTGAGCCGATACGTTAGGGCATCACGTGATTGGGTGAGGAGGAATGTCACGGACAAATAGTCCCATATCGGCTAGCTATAGGGCCGAAAAACATTATTTAAGTCCTGGGCTGCCCACCTCTCTCAAGGGCTCTTTTGGGAGGTGACAACACGCTCAGAAACTCAAAAAAGCACACACATATAATATAGAATATCCAATTTACTTCTCTCCTTCACTATGTTCAGATGCACCAGCTGCATGTTCTCCTCAAGCGTTAAGCCCACCTGATCTCAATAGCTAACGATTAGTTTCAATTACAAAACTCTTGATGTTGGTTTCTACTCCAAAGAACCGTCTGTCACCGAGCAGAAAGAAAAGACCTAAAGTTGCTTTAGAATGAAAAGCTATTTCAGGAATATTCTAAAAAAAAAAAGCTATTTTAGGAAATTTTAAATGTTTTCTAACTTTAGTATTTAGCGTCTTTGTTTTATCATTCATCTTCTTATCCTGACAAAAATGGTACATCCTCATATAGCTTTTTTCCATGCATAATTCTAAAATATATCTCATGCACACAAAGTCACACCATATCCCATGCACAAGCTACCCCGTTAACCCACATGACAGCTAACATCATGCATTAATATAAAAATGGATAAAAAAACAAAATAATAAAATTATTAGACAAATGCTTAAAAATTTGAAAACAATTAAATATAAACAAATAATAGTTCTAAATAAAATTAAACGTTTTCTAGTTTAAAGTATCCATTGCCCCATATTTATAAAAAACATATTAGGATACGCGCACAAAACTTTTTTCCATGCATGGTTCTGGTATAGATCCCATACACTAGAAGTTAATCCTTATCCTACTTTTTTTGCTTTCATACAAGCGACCGCCTGAATACATATGAAACCTAAAACCATTCATAAAATATATAAATAGATCATACCCAACACTTCTGGATTCCTTACAATTCAGGTTGAACCAAAATATTGATGCAAATATTTAACATCAACTAACAAAGGTATTTATTAAAAAAAACAACAATAATCAGCTTAGATTTCCGTAATTTTTTTAAAACTGAAAATAATGACCATTTTCGCCTCTTTCAAATTAAAAGAGCGCATAAAGCTCACCTTAATACATCCAAAGGAAATTGCCTTTTAGCATATTGATTGAAATCAGACTCAACATCTTATATTCCTTAGTTGCCGTTTCTCCTCTTACTAAGTTTTTCTAGCCATTTGTCCTTAAACCTGCTGCATATAGGATTTCATCAAGCTTTTCCAGATATGACTCAGGATTAAAAAACCAAGACAAAATGTCCATAGGTTCCATACGCTCATGCTTAACCAAGAAGGCTTAAACCACATCCACAATTTTTAGTGTCCATTTGGGCAGGTGGAAGCTATCAGCTAAAAGTAACTATAGATCTGCTCAGGCTAAAGTTCACACTAGTAGACCTAGTAATTAAAAGTAGTTTCTAACCATAAAAATTTCTGAATACAAGCAACAAATTTGTGGTCAAACATGGATTTGATGGCAATTCAAAAAGCAAAACAGTGAAAAAAATAGCTCCAACCAGCCCATCGTCTTACTTGGAACCAAACTTTCAAATCAACTGATCAAATTTTACTTCTGAAACCTTTTAATTCAATTCATCAATAGGTTTAACTCAAAAAAATCCAAATTTCAAAAATTAAAGTAGATTGATTAATAAAAATTTAAAAAATAAAAGGATAATTTAAATTTTAAATTTTAAAATAAGTTAAACAAAAATTATGAAAATCACAGGACAAAGTTAGAGAAAATAATATAATTTGAAATAAGTTTGCTAGAAAAAAAAAAACTGGGAGGTAATTTAATTTAAAACATTGGAATCTATTAAAAGGCTTTCTCAAATATAATTTTAATAATGATATAGTATAGATGAAATAAAAGAGATACATGGATAATAAATTACAATTTAAAATGAATGGATAAGATTATTTTCATAATCTCCAATGATGAAATATAAAAATCCTTTATAATAGTGCAATATAGATGGATAAGAGATCCGTAGCCTTGCCTCCTATAGCCCTAAAATCTGAAATGAGTGCATAAAGCATCTCCTGGAAGACAGTTGTTAGTTACCCATATAAGAAGCTTCATTATTGATTAAAACAAGTAGATAAAGTTGCAGCAGAAAACTAAGGAAATTTCCATTGGACGGAGAGATAAACAGCTCAAGCATAATAGTCCCCTATACGAAACAAAGCCAAAGAGTGTAGCTAGAAATGGGATAATGAAGTTAAGGTGATGACCATAAATTTTATAAAATAACAAAGTCACTTACAAAGAACTTCTTAGCACTCTATAAAACTAAGAAGATAGCATAAAACAAGTTACATAACCGATTCCTAAGACCAATGATCAGAAATATAAAAAACAAAACATAGGAATGCATGCCAAGACAAACCTAAAGCATAATTAACACAATAGTTACGCACAAAAAGGGTACCAACGTTAATAGAATTGCATATGAAATAGCACTGCAAAAAGGAATGAGTTTAGCCAGAGTATCATACAGCACAGAAATGTCTCAACCTAAGCGGCATACTTTCAAAAATGCAAAGAATTCACGGAATATAGTAGCAACATCCTATATCACTACCAATTTCCAGAAAATTGAATATCTCATGGGACCATGTGGCATAACATGAGCTACATTACACTGGAAACACTACATAGAATGCTTAGCAATAGAGTACATTAAATTGCTGGGAATATTAACAATGGAACTTACCCATGGAAGGTATGCTGCTGTAAAGGTGAACAGACCCAGGAAACTCATGTGGATATAGGGATTGTGCTTACTCCAGACATAAACCTAAAGCATAAACCAGATTAGTAGCTGGCACTATGCAGGCCAATTAAAAAAAAATAAGATTATAGATAAAACATGGATGTTACAATAATAGCATATATGAAGCCAGACTAAACTCTAGCCACACAAATTTTTCAATGGAATTCCATGCTACATAACCAGGATTAATTTTTTTCCATGTATTACTGAATAAATAACAATATTATTCTTAAAAAGGTTGCATCAAATCAATAAGAAATTCATGCATAAATGACTTTGATTACTAACCATCATGAAGGTCAATGAGTTGCTAAGAAAGAGAATCTTCGCAAAACTCGCAGAAACATATGGTATCATGCCACCAACGAGAACAATCCCAGTCAAAACAGAGGCACCAAATAAAAGCATATAAAAGAAATCAGCGGTACGTCCTCTGAATGAGTTCTCCTCTAGTAATTTGCAATATCGAGCAAGGAAAAACATGTGAAAAAGAAAGTCCAAATCTGCCAGAAACAAAAAACATGATCATACAATGCTAAATGGAAGCATACTTGAAAGTTAGCAAAAACAAAATATATTGTACGACACATTAAGGCATGAATGGCCCAACCATGTGTTCATCCTAAAAAAAAAAAGAAAAAGAAAAATGAACTAGAATAAAGAAACCATGCCACATGCATGATTGATAGGCATATCTGCCATCACGCAAAGTGCATAAAGTTTAACATATTTTAGAACTTACCAAGTAAACTAGAAGAAACAGAAATTAAGAATACCCACTCGCTAAAAATTGATATTCATCATCATTATTAGCCTTATCATAATTATTTGGATTAGTTTCCTGAATCTTCATTCTCCTTTTGTCCATATAAAAAGTTGCATGAGAGGTTAAACCCAATAACTTGGCCTTTCTTCCAATTCTAAGTTATCTTTGGTCTACATTTTTTCCTTTGTAATTCATTTACATTAATTAATCCATCCATCTTGTCCATGCATCTTTTACTATATGCCCAAACCATCACAATCTACTTCACCATCCCTCAAACACAATCACTTAACAATCCATCCTTTCTAATTTTTCTAAAATTTCAACTTAAAATTTTTATTCTTACCCTCCACTTGCCTATATGAACAAAGAAAAAAAAAAAAGAAAAAAGAAAAAACATGCACTTTTAAGAGTATTGCAATGGAAATTTTAATTGTTTTGAAAAAGCACAAACATAAATTATAATAAAAATTAGAAAGAAATAAATTTATTTTATTACATAATTGCTGACAGTACTCTTTAAATGAGGTAAAGCAAGAAAAGAGAAAGTGTGCACTCACTGTTTCTACAGTTCCTTTAGACAAAAATATTATAATTACAATTTGTCGATACTTTGAAAAACCAATATAAATGCAACCTTAGCAAAACTGAAAGGTACATAATAACATATGATAACAAAATAGTAGGATGAAGAATATCAATCAATACCCTGATATTAAAAAATGAACAAAATAATTAAGACCAAGCACCGTTAATAACACATTATAATGGTATTTCAATTATTTTGAAGAAGCATCGGTAGACCTTTTACCATGAAGTACACAGAAATAAAGTACAGAATATTTTTTCATTAAGAGGTACTACACTTTAAACATGATAAGAAATGTGAATTCAATCCAAAACTTATGTCATACCTTAAGGCTAGAGGAATGATCAGAAACAATACATTGGTACCAATAAATGAAGAAAATAATTCTAAAACAAGCAACTTCGGGAACACTTGCACTGCGACTATGTTTTGAAGAAGCATCAACAGTATTTTTACTAAAACCTAACAACGACAACTACAAGCCTTTATCCCACTAAGTGGGATCGGCCACATGAATCCTTTTTCTCCATTTTGTCCTATTGAGTGTCATATTTTCATTTAATTTTTACTACAAACTAGAGGGTAAAAAAAAAGTTTATCAAGTATAGCCTTCATTAAGAACTAGTATGTATACCCAAAATGTACTAAAGGTCAACCTTGCCTAGTCAGACTAAAGATGATTAAAGATGATCCGCAAAACCAAGATAGAGTGAACTCACCAAATTGAGTTCAAGAAAAGCATGCTAGTTGAGGCCGAGACAGATCACAGAACGAGCCCAAGAAGAACTCGTCAACTTGGTTCGACGTAAATTGTCTAGCCAATCTAGGCAAACTTATTGAAACAAGCTCAAGTCACACCGGCCAATCAAACCCTAAAACCTAAACCAAAACGAAGGTAGACCCACCAATAGAGCACAAACAAGGATCATCCACCAAATTCATGAAGAGCTCACCAAAATCAATATCAAACTCATAGATTGACTCGGTCCATACAACTTCCTGAGCCCAAAAAGCTAATCTACAGCTTCTACCAAAGAAAATCCTATCTTCCTCAAGTTAGACAGTCAACCATTAGTCTAATTCAGAGTTCTCACTTAAGTTATATGCCCTTGTACTTTATTTTGTATTGCTTTATATGCATATATAGTTCATTGTGTAGTCATTTTTATAGCCCTCGAAATCCCAATCGTTACCTATAAATAAGAAGTTGCGGGAAGCACCAAGGTTATGCAATCTTTTGCATTCTAGCCCAAATTTATGATTTATTGATTTTGATAGTGGGTTTTCCTCTTCCTTCTCAGCTTTCTTCGTCCCTCATCTCTCTTCCTCTTTCCCCTCGTTCCCTCTACATTAATTAGGGTTCCGACATAGCTAATGGATAGAAAAACCAAAATCTAACATCCAACATAGCCCTCATGCATGATAAATCTAACAATTAGTTTGTGCAATCATTGGTTTTACGCATAAAGTTTGGTTGAGCAAATATATCACATTTACAAGTTGCCACTGACCTAAGAATAAACAAGTGAATTGCAATTTTCCCGCATGGAGCTCAAAGCATAAGAATTAGATCTCAGGCATTTACACAAATTAAAACAAAAAACCCAAAGAACTTCCTTACATCCTAAGAGCACGACATCTCAATAAGATATAAAGCTCTCCAATCATAAAATTTTTGTAGGCTTAAAGTTCAATAGAATAGTGCACATAAACACCAACAAATCCAAAAAAAATAAATAAAATTTTAAAATTAAAAAAAAAAAAGAACACCAATAAAGCCAAAGCTGCCATTTTTGCGTCCGAACATTTCAATTTATGAAAACCAGGTATCATATCAAAAATTAGAAAATAAGTATGACAGAATGAATACATATTTATTTACATATTGGATTCACTACTAATTCCCAAATAATTATACCCTAAGGAAAGGAACTAGCAACAATAACCTCATATTGTCAAAAGTAAAGCATCAAATATATGAGATGGTAATCCCAAAGTGCCAATAAATCAATCAAGTACCTATATGCTAGCACATTAATAATCCTTCAACAACTAAAACTACTAAATAAAAAAGTATCACATAACAACAGCACAAGGAATTTAGAATGTTTAAAGGAATTGAACAAAATTTGTTTTAACGCACTTGTTTGGTAGGGAGAAATTGAGTGAAAAAGTAATCTCCCTTTTTTTATTAAAGGGTGGACTCAATCATAATAATACAAATACTTTAGTTATACTTCAATTTTTTACTAGGTTAATCAAAGGATCATAAAGATAAATCAATATAAGTTCTAACTTCTCAGCCGTACATAAAAATATCTGGAAGGTTCAACAGTTTGGATTTACCTACATCAACATGAATTTGTTGAGGTTAGCATAAATCCACAGACTTGAATAAACTCACCAGAACTAGCTAATGTCATGGCGAACTTGCCAAACTGATGAAACTCATCAAACTCATAATGAAACCATTGAACGAAATAAGTGTTTGACAACGCTCAGGCATCTAAGATAGACATTCGCCTCAGCTAAGGGACTACAAGTTAAGCCAGTCTATTCACACCCAAAAAAAAAAGAGAAGATTAAAGACCAATATGTCTTATGATATAATTGTCTCATTCATGTAACTCAATATATATCTTTTCTTATAGAGAACTCTGATCCAAGAGAATATATTACGTGTGGAGTCCAACCGTAAGACTCCAATAAAATCGCGGCCCCAGTCATTAGATGGACCCACCCCCTTAAAATTAATAAACGGGCGAAAAAAATATTTTTTGAAGGGGACTGAACCCAGCCCGAAACAAGCCCTACATATTAAGGAAAAAGCCGCCTAATCAAAAACCCGCGCCTCGCCTTCTTTACCATTTTTCGCTCTAGGGTTTCCCGTTTTGTTTTCCACAGTCAATTTCATTCGTCTTCACGTTCTAAGGTTTTCATTTAGGGTTTGATGTTGCATATTGAGGAGATACCTACTACAATAAATCCACAGTAGATCAATTTTGAGAATGTAAAGTAAAAAAAATGATGACAAGAATGAAAAGAAGCTAAGTTTATTTGTCATTGAAATCATTACAGTGCTTGAAGTGGTATTGAGATGATATTGATGTAATATTTTAGTGGATTAGTAGTGCTATTTAGTTATAGTATTGAGGTGATATTGAAGTGTCATTGAGGTTATCTCTTGCCTTTCCTCACACATTGAACAAAATCTCTATGTCAAATAAAGTACATTGTTTTCCAAAAATAACTCCATGAATATATATGGGCCCAAAATTTACATATGAAATAATATAGTGAACAACTGAGCCAAAAAATTCGTACTGGAGCAATATATTTCGCGATGAAGGATGATTTATACATCTAAAATATTAAACATTGATTAAGGATGACCTATTTACCTCAAAACTCCTTCACCATTGCTTTTGCCTTTTGTTCCTTCCATTTACTTCTTCGGCATCACGCAAAGCCCTAAAAATTATATAATGAATTCAAGAGATGCTAGGCATCGCAGAGAGACGTAACATATAACCGAGAGGCGACATTAACTTAGCGAATCTCCTCACTAAATCTCATCCCTGCTCCGGCGACACATCTCCGAACCTTGCCAGCCAAAAGGAAACCCTAGAGCGAAAAATGGCGAAGAAGGCATGGCGCCGGTTGTTGAGTAGGGGGCTTCTTCTCGTAATATTTAGGGTTAGGTTGTCTATGAAAATAACAATTTTCACCGGTTTATTTAATATAAGAGGATAGGCCCTTCTAATGACGGGTGTCGTGATTTTATTGGAGTCCATATGCAAAATTGCATCATTGTGCACGTAATATTTTCTCCTGATCCAAATCTATAATTATTGCCTGTTTATGCAGATTGATATAAGATTTTGTATTTTAACATAAAATGAAGAAATCGTAGAAATTTTTACTCTAAGTCGTCTCTCTCTCTTATCTTTCCCCTTCTTTGCGCTATAAGTGCTTAAAAGGTTTTCGTTTAAACAATATATCGTTTCCTCAATTCCTCCAAAACCAATCAAACTTTGATATATCACAACTAATCATAGGTCACAAGAGAAAGAAAACGGCACAATGAGGCAATGATAAGTTTCAAACTGCTGAATGTTCCAATAGGAAAACAAAAATGCCAGTGATTGTAGCATCTGGAAGAAAAAAATACATAATTAACTACTAATCTTCAGGTTTTCACAAATATCAGTAAGCAAGAGTTATTCCGATCCAAGCATCTTACCCATTTTCCTGAAATAGAAGAAGTTTGTAATAAGCCGCCAAATCTCATAGTCCTTAACCACCAGCTTAGGATTCAGATACAAATGATAAGGGGATATGATCTGCGAAAAGATAATCCAAATACAATCAGTAAGAGCCCAATACATCAATCTAGCAAATCATCCTCCAAATAATTTAAATATAACGAATATAAAGAAAATAATCATAAAATCAAAGTCAGAGTCTTCAATTTCCAATTAAACAAAAAAACCAAACGGCATCACCAAATAAAAAATCATTCAAACCCCAAGAAAATGCAAAGGGAAGAAAAAACAGGGCATTAGAATGAAAAATCTCAGACGATCAAACTCGATGGAAATCTAGATCTGATGACGCATGTAGGAATACCCGTAGCCTAAGAGCAGCAAAGGAAGAACAAATACGCACATCGAGAGAGCATCCGACGGTTGTGACAACGGCGGCCGTAAGGTAAGACCGCGTGATGATCGGCATCTGCTTGTACCATTCCTCCACAGCCTGCGCCATTCCCGCACTTGATCCGTCTAAACCAATTGAAACCCTAACCCTAGACTCGAGGGGTTTGCAGCTGAAAAACGACAGAATGGGGCGGAGTATCTTCTGAAGCTTCCCTAGCTGCACTTTTTATCCACCCTCCCTGTTTCACAAAGCTTAGCAAGCCAACGTCGCGTCAGTGTTATGGTTGCAACCAACTGTATTCTGCCGCGTGTCAAACATATCCAATCATAATATTAGTGATAATTTTTAACAGTATAAGAAAGTTATATATATAAATTAGATTTTCCATTTTTCTTTCTCTTAGTTGTCGAGTTGGGAGCATGATGTTTTTTAAACATTAATGCTAAGGATGTCAAAGAGGAGAAAAATTTGATAAGACTTACGCAACGTTAGGGAGATTATTCAGAGGATATTGAGGGCTATATCCGCATTATATCTTCTGTGACCTATCTGTATCTTCTAGTAAATTCAACGCTTCTATTTTCATATATTTGTAGGTTACAGATATGCTACATGGAAGTTATAAGTAATATAACGCAGATATAATCCCTCAATACCTTCTAAATAATCTCGTGACGTACGCAACAATGTGTTCGTCTTACATGCACAAATTTTTCTCGTCAAAGAGACAACATGTTTATTGCTCAATTTTATTGACTTCATTAAACTTAACGTTCTGAACATAAACAACTATTTTTTAATCAAAATAATTAAATAATTAATATTTATTTATATTATTTTTATATTGATTTTTAATATGTATTAAACAATGCTAAATTTATTTTTTTTTAAATTATTTGAGTGTTGTAGCTAAAAAAAAATATAAATTTTGTTGTTAGATATGTAAATAAATTGAATTATTATATAATACTTATTATTTAATGTGGGTGGAATCATTAATGTAAATGCCATCTGATTTATATTTATTGTTGTCGCCTACCTTTTGGCTCCTCTGTAAGAATTGGGGTGGTTTGTATGTAATTATTCAATTTGGGTGGAATCACTGAATCTAAATTGGCAGGCCTGACCCACCTTTTTGTCATTTCTGTAATAAGTGGGGTGACATGTATCTGAACGAAATCAGGACCTGCCGTGCCTAGACATTTGTCCCACATCGTGTGGAACGGAGATATTTTCTGGTTACAATTCTACATAAATGTAAAAACAAAAAGAAAAAAAATCATTTTTCCTCTTGGTGCTAGGGGTGTAAACGAACTGAACACGAACGAACACGAACGAACAAAGCTTTTGTTCGTGTTCGGTTCGTTTAAAATTTAGTTTGTTTGAAATAAGATCGGCCAGTTTGACATCCCTAATATTAATATATAAAAATAATATTATATATTAATTATATAACTTATATTATATAAATATACAATATCTATATTAGTATATTACTACTATAGTATATTTAGTATATTAAATTATTATTTTATTATATATTATAATTTATAAAATTTAATGTTTTAAAATATAATAAATTTTTTATATATAATTATTTTATATTATTTTATATTTCAAACAATAACGATTCGAACACGAACGAACACATCACTGTTCGTGTTTGGTTCGTTTAACTAACCGAACGAAAAAAATTTATTCGCGTTTGTCTCGTTTACTTATCGAACGAATCGAACACGAACTCATTGACGAACCGAACACGAACTGTTCGCGAACAACGGGTTTTTTTGACAGCCCTACTTGGTGCCACCAAGCGTTTTCAAGAAGAGGATGGGTATATGATCGAACTTATATTCATGTTTGCGGTGGACATTATAAATTGCGTGGACTGTCTGCACAGAATAATAGCTCGCATATGATTAAATTGATTTTTTATTTATTTTTAATCAAATTGATTCTTATTTTTTCTTGAAATATTCTAAATAAAATTTTAATTTGTAACAAGGTTTGAATAAATTTGAGTTTAAATTAAATTAAAGATTTAGGCTCTAGATTTCAAAATTTAGCTAAACACGAGCTAATTTAAATGAATTTGACTTGAGATGAATATAAATAGGGCTATTTATGAATTATTTGGAACGTGTTCATTTTGAATGAATGAGCTGAAGATGAACAAGCTCTAAGCTTGCTTAGGTTCGGCTTGTTTACACTCTTAGCAATATTGAACTTTTAAAGTTATTTGATTGCCCTTATGAATAGTGGGTTTAGGAGTGTAAATGAGTAAAGTCGAGCTCAAGCCATGTTCTGCTTGAGCTTGAACTTAATTCTACGAGTTAGAACATTAAAGAGAGAAAAAAGTAATACTTTAAGTTAGTGTTATAATAAAATGAGAAATATAATGAACATTTATGAAATAATTAATAAGAAATTACTTGATATAAAATATAATATATCAGTTTTTAGATATTTTTAATTTTTTAAAAAGAAATTCTTCAATTTTAATATATTTTAAGCATATTATCAATTATTTTTTAAGTGAGACGGCTTACAACCTAACGATTATGTGTTGGGGTTGTCTCGAGCTTGGGTTATTAGCTCATCAAGCTTACTTCACGAGCAAGTCATTGAGTTGAGCCCGAGCCAGGTCATGAGAAAGCTTGGCTCACTTATACAATGATCGAGAGTAGTAGCCTTTGGAGTTGTTTCCAGAACTTTGGCAAACTGTCTGTGATATGTCATCGCACAATATCCAGGACACTACTCCGCGATGTAAGTCGTTACTCCAAGTGATGCTTGGTTACTTTGCAACATACATCATTATTCCTCAAGATTCATCAATGAAGACGAGCAGGAGGCGACCGATGGCGTAGACGCTAGTTTTCAGGTCATAGTCGACAACCACAAAAAAAGGAAGTGTTTTACTAGTATTGCTTTTTTGGACATTTCACAAGTTCTATAAGTTCTTCAAATATGGAATTATATTTTTCATAGACGAAGCCAAATTAGAACGTGTTAGAAAATCTACAATTACTAAGTAATAAATCAGTGTCTCAGTATAGTAAAAAATCTAGCACACACACATATAATAAAATAATAGAAGAAGACAACAAGAATTTTCTATACGAAGAACCTGAAAATGAAAAAAATCACGAGCCTAGCCCAATGAGAATGATCCATTATAAGTTTGTCAGTACAAATATAAACTCTTATCCATAATTGAGAAAGGGTTATAATGTTTCCCCACTTACAATATACGTAAGTAGAAGGGTGCGTTATACAATAGTCGAGAGTAGTCACTAATGAGAGTTATCACTGTGTCCGAGGTACATTATTGCACATTATCTGAAACATTGTCACTCCACGACATAAGTCGTTATTCTACATGATGCTTCATTACTCCACAATGTCCATCGAAAGTGATGAGCAGGGGCAGCCGCGATGGTTGATGACAACTGACAAGCGGTAGTTGACAACCATAGAAGTAGGAAGTATCACTAGTTCTTCGAATTCAAAAGACTCTAAGATTCTCCTCTACCTCACCACTGTCCAGGTCCAACTCTTCATTCATGAAGAGAGTAGGGCTTTATTTATAAATTATGAGAGTGACATTCTCTGTAAATAAGTTATTTTGAATCACTTCACCAGATGACATAGAGTGATTTCTTTGATTTAATGATATTTATGGACATTTAAGTGCCTTACTAATGTCAGAATTAAATGATTTTAGACTCATTGGATTGGTCTCATGAGATGCTCCATTTAACTATGAGATTGTCAGATTTTGAATCCATTTGATCTTTAATTAGCCACACAAAGCTTTCAAAAGTAATTTAACAACTTGATTTGAGCTTAATTTTACTTAATTTGGTCAAATTTGTGTCTTTAAGTTCGCATGATTAAACATCTCAAGATTCGTGCTAAATGTTAAAATTTATTGATGGTGCATCAATACTGAAAGTTTTTTTTTTTAATTTTAAATTTTTTTGTGAGTGATAAATATAGGTCATTTTTTACTATTCTTAGGATTTTATTGAAAGTATATGTAACAAATGTCTCTTCATGCTTATGGGTTATGACTAGAAGAGGTTTTTTTGTTAGCTTATTTATATTTAATATGAAATTTAGCTTAGTTGAAGAATATGCAACACTTATCTTATCTTTTCTATTTTGTATTTGCACTTAGATTTTTTATTAACTTAATGTTAGAATTTCTTATAAAGTCAATGATAAGTAGAACTAAGAAAATCTAATAACTATTCAAGTCAGTCTTGTGTTGGTGTAGCAACTACCCAAAATCAATGTGTGGGTAAAATAACTTTTAGAGAGGAAAAAAAACTAAAAGGTGACACAATTAGAGGTGAGACAAAATTTTACTAAAATAGCAATTGTAGAAAAGAGAGATGTTATACAATAATAAAAATATAATTATTGTGTAAATAGACACCACAACTTAAATGAATAGATAATCTAGGGATAATTAATATAATAAACTTTTTGTTATGGAGAATACTTTTTTTTTATACAACTGTTGAGGATATTGAAAAAAGTAAATATTTATATTTTTATAGTAGGATTAAAAATATTATGACTAAGATGATCATTGTTCATGAGCACCCATTCATGATAATTGGACTTCCATGGTTTTAAGTTTAAAAGAAATTAATGAATCTTAATTATCATAAAATTTTCAAATTTACTATCAAAGAAGAGTATATGAAAGTGTATAAAATTGAGAAAGTGAAACTTTTAAAAAATTTAAAATTAGTTGAAAGAATTTCATTTTCTAGTCATTGTTGGGCATTAATCAAAACAATTGGTTGCATGTCTTGTTGTTTATTATATTGCTTTGATTAAAAGTTGTATTCCAGGATCATTAGTTTTAATGGCTCAAATTCTCCATTTGGTAGAGTTAAGATTTTTGAAGCAATTTTAAAAAAAAATATTATAATGGAGTTCGCAGAATAAAATAAGTACAATTACTTTAGATAATGCATTATCAAATGATACGACTACTAGAAATTTGAAGGGATTATTTGACGGAAGAATTGTTGCTCTTATTATGGATGATTTTTTTCATGTTCATTGTGCTAATCATATTCTTTACTTAATCATGCATGGTTTGAAAGAGGTTGTTAAAATGGATGAGAATGGTAGGGAGTCAATTTTGTTTATAAAGTGATCCTCTAGTTACTTACATAAATTTGAAGATATTGTAAGACAAATTAACTTATTTATAATGAAGACATTACACATTGATGTTCCAACTAATTGGAATTCTACAAACAAAATAATAGACTATGCATTTTATTTTAAGTTTTTCTTCCCTAACTATGTTGTATGAGAACATAATTATGCTTGATTTTCATATATTGAAGAATGTGATTATTTTGAGAAGATTAGAGAACTACCACACAATTTTCATAAATGTTTTCAAGTTTAAGTTATCCCACTACTATTAGGTTTCTTCCAAATTTAATACTTATTTAAAAAAATTTTGGATAGAGATTGATTTTTTTAGTCATTTTATTTTAAATATGACAAATAATATGAAAACAAAATTTGGTAAGTATTGGCTAGATTGTTTTCTTTTATTTTCATTTGTTCGTATTTAAGATTTTAAAACAAAATTATTTGTCACCAACTACTAACATCCTCAAATTTATGGAGATAACAGGGTGAATGAAAGAAATAGATAACGTGAAACATAAATTTTTTGAAATGTACTCTTATTATGCAATTAACAAAAAATATATTGGAGGTGAACTTTCAAAAACACCCTCCTCTCGTATAGTGAAAACAATCTTAACACAAGATTATAGTTTTTCACTTGGTGATTTTACTGATTTGTATATATTCATAGATTTAAGAGGGCTTAAAGTTTCACAGAAGTATGACTTCAAAAACATTTAAAAGAAACTTGTGTTAAATGCCCTAGCATTGAGTTTGATATTTTAAAATGGTGAAAAATATTTGTCATGAAATAAAAAACTCCTTTTAAGATGATAAAATATAATTTTATAATTCCTATAACAATATTTGCATCTAAGTCAACATTCAATGCAAGAGAGCATGTGCTTAATGAATGAAAAAAGTTCAATTTCACCAAAGATATTAGTATCTACGTATGCACTGAGAATTAGATTCGAGCAGCATGAACATTATCAAAATATTTTCTAGTAATATTTCGATACTTTGATAATATTTACATATATGTTGCAATTTTTTTTGTAAATATACTTAATTTTTTATTACTATTTTATAATTTTATTTGACATTCTTGGATTTAATTGTGATTTTGACTGAAAACTTGAATGTGTTATTCCACAAACATCAGTTAATTAGGATATTGTCATTTGACTCATGAAAGTTAAAACTTCTTTGTTTTATTTAGCATCCTTTTAACATTCTTTGAACTTTGATTTGGATACTATAAATTTATAATTGTGGGACAATTATAGTGCGCTAATGTGGTATTTTACTCCCGAAATTGTGAGTGCGGTCGTAGAACTCAATCGAGACATTATAATCTTTCTTTTTTGTTTGTTTTTGTGTTGCCATATTAGTGCTAATGTGTCGGACCAAATACTTTTTTCTATCATAATTATTCTTCTATTTTTCATCTTTGAGCTACTACTTATTTGCTAATTAACATTTTGTTGTATGAGGAGCCAAATATATTTTTCTAATAAACATATCATTTTGTGTTGTCTTTGGCAAGTTCTTCTTTCTTAATGGTTTGAGTGGCTTTGGGATTGCATGTCTTATGGAGGCAAGCTTTCTACATTAAAAAACATTGATAAGAGCTATCCATTTTGTGAATTTTTTGGTTTTATGAGGACACATTCATTCTAATTTGTATTGTTCTAATTTTTTTTATGTAATAATAGAGAAATTTACATAATTATCATAACTTTTATACATGCAAATATTAAAAATTGTAGTGATATATGTAAATGCATTTAAATGCCCCAAAATATGACAATAAAACTTACTTCCATCTTATTTCTACATAAAAATTGTTTTATGCATGTAAATCTTCATGTCATTACTTGCTGAAGGCCTCATGCTTCTACGGCTATCACATTAACAGTATTATAAATGTTAGAGTTTACGCATTGGATGCACAGGAACTGGGTGTTATGCATGTAAATATGAAAATTTAGGTGTTAGATATGTAAATTATATAAGAATTATGAGGCATGAAGAGAAAAACCTGGAAGACAAACAAACCTGCCGTAGGCTAATAAGCTCCCATGTAGTAAATAAAGCTAACATAGACATAGATGAGGTTAGAAACATCAAAGAAGATAGCAGAAGATGCAGATAAATTTGTTAGCAAAAGAGATTATATAGAAGGAAAAGCTGATTTATGTTACACAAAATATGGGGTGTTGAAAAATATGAAATAGTTATAGCCATGAAGTAAATCTGGGACCCAAAGGTTTGTGAAGACCATCAAATAGGTCCAACTTCTTTGTGCATGGCTGGGTGGAGAGCTTTCTTCTGATGTTCCAAAGACATTTATTTCATCTAGCCGCCTCAGCTATTGACAAATTTCTCCACGTATGCCTGTTGAAAACCAAACCTAAGTCAAACATTAGTAAAGCCATCAAGCGGAAAGCTTACATACATGCCACCCAATTTCTGATTATTCACATATGTACCGCCACCTAAAGTTTGCTTTTTTTACATTCATACCAATCAAATCTTTTATATCACGTAAAAAATACCACGTGATATACACCTTTTCATGCAGAAGTAAGGTGGTAGGCATGTAAAAATTCAAGCTTTGTGTTAGACATGTGAATTGAGTGGTACATATGTAAATCTTCCAGTTGCTTTTCATGATGCAAAACATGAAAAACTAGAGAAATGACAATTTAAATGCATAGCACATTGGTAATTACAAAATTAGCACTTCGCATCTGTTTTTCAAGTTCTCACCTAAACATTTACAAAATTAGCATTCCAATCTGTACTTTTTGCTTTAATTGGTAGCATTTACATACTTACTACACAGTTCTTTGGTATTTACAGATTTAACACTCGAAAGTTTGATATTTACATTTATAACACCTTAGTGTCATAAACCTAGGCATGAAATGACACATTTTAGTTCTAGAAAAATAATGATGAGGGTATTTTTGATGTGATGTTAAAAAGTTGGAGTGGATGCATGAAAATATGAATGTTTAGGTATCAGATAGGTAAACACACGAGAGTTAAGTGGTATGTATGTAAATGCACCTAAAAAAAAATGATATAGTTGATACTTTGGTAAATACATAAATTTGAACGCTATGCATGTTATTATCCCAACAAAATGAACTAGGCTCACCTGTACAAGCTTGCTAAGCTTCGCTTTAGAGTTCAAAAGATAAAGATCAATTTTTTCTTGTGTCTGAGGGACATTAGAACCCTGCATGGATCCACAGACTTTGTCAACTACCTTCTTCACAATGCTTTTGTGGGCTTCTTTGCTGAGTTGACCTTCTTTCCACTTAGGCTTCAATATATCCTTCACAAACTCAACCAGGGCACATTTAAACATTCTCATCTCTTTTACTTCCTTGATTTTATCCTTCCTCCCTTCTGCATCACCATTCTGTAACTGTGATTGCTGTCCTTTATCTATCTTTTTCGCTTCCTTGGAAGAAGAATCATTGACCTGTTTAAAATTCTCGATGACATGTTTTTGTTGATCAGGTTTCGAAGTTGATTGACTTGGATTGGTTTGCGAACCTTCCGCTTCAGTTGGCGGTGGTGCTACGGCAGTCATGAAGGAACTCATAGAGCTCGGGTTCAGGAAAGACGGAGGCGTCATGCTGGATGAAGGTTGTGAATTATGAACAGCAGTTCCGAAGAACTGAGCCAATGATGCTGAAAGATCCGTTATCTTAGCGGCTTGTTCACTGGTTACCACCTTATGAGCAATGGAATTATCAGAACTGAATGTAGAGGGTTTCACCTCTATTGAATCTGCAGCTTGACCAATCTGTATTGGATCGTTCTTCGTTGGTATTTCAGAAATTTTCTCATTTGAATTGAAAATTTGTGGGTTTAAAGAAGCTTGAAGAATTTGCTGAGAATCAGAGTGTCCAATATGAGAGGAGAGATTTTGTTGAATATGCCCACCAACACTGAGATCTGGTTGGTTGTGTGGATTATGAGTTAGTTGTCCATTCTGCTGGATCGGCTTATTGAGATTGATATTGGAGACACTATGTGAGATCATAGGAAGATTTTGTTGAGCTTGGGCTCTAGATTCTAAGTTCTGTGGATTCAGTTGATAAGATGGAGGATTAGCAGAAAGATTCTGCATGCCTGCATTGAATGATTGATCATCTGGAGGCTTATGAAGAGCTCCCAACTGATTGTTGCCATTTTGAGAATGGGAAGGCATAACTTGTTGAATTTGCCCTTTCAATGGAGATGGAGCAAACTGTTGAAACGAAGAATTTGAAGCAAAGTTTTGGGCATGCGAAAGCTGAGGAGCGAATTGGATTTGCCCACTAATATCAGTATTTTGGCCGGCGATCGAAATTGTAGGAAGAGGATTGTTTGCAGAAAGCTCCTCTGAAACTTTTGATCTAGTCTTCTGCTCAGAAGATTGGGTTTCTTTATGAAAATCCTGGGTCGGGACTGGTTGACTTTGGGGTCTGTTTGTGAAATTTTGCTTATCACCACTCACAAAATTATGATGGCTGCCATCAAATGATCCCTCTACAGGAGAATTGAGTGGACCAACCTGGTGGCGGAACTTACAGCCATCGCCATGAAGACAATAACCTCGTAAAAAGTACTTACATGGAACATCGCTTGACCTTCGATGCTCAATCCTATGACCAAAAGACACATTGCCATCCCTCCGATCATGAACCCTTCCTCTCAATTCATCTCTCGAGCTCCTTCCACTGTCAGATGATGCATCGTGATGAATGTATCGGCATGCCGCCCCTCGATTACACCTACCTATTGTGAAATCATAACACCTCTCGTTAGAACGGTAACCTTGGTACGGTACATTATTGCCAAGTCCATCTCCGAGGTTTTCCTCGTGTCGCCTAAAAGGTTTCTCATGAGTATAGTTGTCTTTCTCACGTGGATCAGTGAGATTCTCTCCATGTGGGGGTCGACTTTCCCTCTCGAGTCTACTTCCCCTTCCATCATTTGATCCAGCATCATGGTGCCTATCAATCTGCCTCCAATCACCAGCTTCATGAAGGAACCTGCATTCAGTACCCCATCTACATTGGCCAGCAGCAAAAGCTCTACATGGTGGGGTCATTCGTCTCATTCTACCTTTGTCTGTCCACCTATCAGAACCCTGCTTGGAGATATAGGAAGGGCTCTTACTCCAGCTCCTGCTCCTGTATTATAAGAAGTATAAAAATTTTAAAGAACTTCAAAGCACCGAGCAATTTTATAGAAAATGGGAAGAACAGATTCAATCCAATTCTAATATGTCATATTCTCACCTTGAATCATAAGGAAGGCTCCGGCTCCGGAA